GGCTCCCCAGTGCCAGCTCCTTCCACTTGACCGCATCCAGCGCAGAGCGGCTCGAATCATCGACGACCGAGTCCTTTCCGATCGGCTCGATTCATTGGCACTGCGAAGAGATGTTGCATCCCTTTGCATTTTCTTTCGAATTTACCACGGGAAGTGCTCTGAGGAATTGTTCGGATTAATCCCAGCCGCCAAATTTCACGAACGCACATCGCGACAGAACTCCCGATACCATCCACACCATCTGGATGATTGGCGCTCCGCCACTGTGCGATTTAGAAAATGTTTTCTTCCTCGCGCGACTTTCTTGTGGAATCGATTACCATCAGCGATTTTTCCAGACCGATACAACTTAGGGACCTTCAAGAAAAGAGCCTACTCCTTTTTAAAAGGCCGGCAACACATCTGCGATTCCCCTGGTGTTGCAGTTGTTCATGGGTGGCGGTAGTCACTTACCATCAGGTGAGCCGCATGCTCGTTTGCCCCCTCTCCTATAAAAAAAATATCACAAAAAGTAGATGGATGTGTCCGTTGACTCATGAAGGTAGTATTAATAAGTGTATTGGCCAAAATATGAATATAATAGTGTGTGATTATGCTTTTTGCTTTTTCAAGAATGCATTATGCGATAAGCTAATAATAAAATGTTAATTCTGTTCCGCTAACCGTCATTGCTTTCTTTATTTTATAGTACTATTATAGAAGTTGGAAATGCATTACTACTAGGGGAAAATCCATTTCTAGTATATATTTCTGTGAAAAAGGAGTCAAAATTGACTGACTAAGATCGTGTAGTGAAATCTGTCAGTGATATACTTTTCGAAAATGTACCGTGGACTTTTCAGCAAGACTGTTCCTGTTCGTAACTTACAAGGCACGGCGGTCGACGGCACGAGAACAATGTTCACTTAAGTATAAGAGCTGGAGACTGGTCCTCGTCCTGACCAGATCTGAAAAACCTGCCTGCTCAAAACGTTACGTTAACGTCCGACATCGAGTTTCTTAAGGAATCTTTAAAGCTAGCAAGTAATCAACCAGTACGTTTTTCATATATTGGTGGCCGCAGTTGCTAAATTCTTACAGATAATCAGACGGTTCGTTTCTCCATAGATTCGTGGCATCAGGGGCTAAATTCATACAGGTAATCAGACGGCGCGTTTTTCCATAGATTCCTGGCCGCAGTGGCTACATTCATACAGATAATCAGACAATACGTTTTTCCATAGATTCATGGCCAGAGAAATTATAGTCATGTTTCAAAATGAAAGGTTGAATCTTCTACTGCATTTTTCTACCAATGCATGCAATAAATTCACGCTCATTTTTATTGTATAAAATTAAAGTGACAAACGAACTTACATTCCAGGTCTACTGACACCTGCAACCAACTTCAAATAAAGAAAGCTTCAGAGCGTTAACTTTGACTTTAAACAACAAACAATTTTGAAATGACACCAAAGAATGAGAAACAAAAAAGTAAAACAAAATTTTTATTCGCAGTAGAGCCATGATGCAGCTATACTGTGGTTGTAGTACAAATGGATCGGCTCGACGGAAAGTCTCGGGAAAGGACCAAGCTCTCACAAACTAAAATCGTAAAATAAGAGTTTAATGCTGTCTTCGTATGGTGAATGTAGAGAACCGGAGACCCTTTTTAATGGATACGGGGCATTCTAACTTAGTCCTTGGGGGTGATAATGCATCTTTATTTTGATTCTTAATGTAAATGTAGATGTCTATGTCCACAGTATCCACTTACCATCAGGTAAACTGTGAGCTTTTGGCCATGGAAGGAAAAGGGAAGATCTCCCGCCGGGCAAGGTGTTCTGCCCGGGGAGCGGCCAACGCTCTGAGTGGTAGTTTTGAGCTATTCTATACATATACTGTTTTTACTTCGGAACTATGATAGCTCGATTTAGATTTCGATGTATTTCGCTTGCGGCGCGACGATAGCGCCACCACATCACCCCCCTGCTCAGACCGGAGGTCGACAGTGCAATCCAATTGCCGGTGCGTTCTTAATGCCGGTGGGGAATGCATACTGTGTGCGTAAGGGCAAGTGACGCCGGTGCGAACGATATGCCGGAGCAAGTGCCAGAAGTCTGCCTTATAAATCTTCGGCGATTCGCTTTATCACGACTTGCTCCATAGCTATCCAGAAATAACTTGTCCAGCTCAAATACAATGTATAACACCCCATAGCACTGTCCATCACATTAGGACTACGCCAGATCCCCCTATTAATTCCACATCACCCGCGTGGTGACATCACGTCGGGTGGTGACTTTGGCCGTGGAAGGAAAAGTGGACATCTCCTACCGGGCAAGGTGTTCTGCCCGGGGAGCGGCCAACGCTCCGAGTGATAGTTTTTTTTGCGCCCAGAAGCAATTGAAAAGGGCTACCCCCGGAAACGAGAGGGAGGTGGTGAATGCTCTAATCATACCACGACAGCCGGCTGTCGTGTATATGTGGGACTCACTGCGACTAACCTAACCTAACCTAAGTGCCTACCCACTAAACCATACTACCCACCATACCACCTGTGAGACTGGCATTGGCTTATGAGGCCTTTCTGCCGAATCGCAAGCGACCCTCTTTTGGGAAAAGGGGGCGCAGGCTGCGACGAGCTGCTGAGGGGGAGCCTAACTAAGGCAAATAAGAAGAGTCGGCCTGAGACGCCAGGAGGCAGTTCAGGTCGGTTGAAAGCTTGTTTGGCGGGTCCGAGAGAGTTTCTCGGCCTGCGGACTCGATAGCGAGAGGGGAGTGGGGCTGCATATTTAGCTGCCTCACGAATGAAATGATTGGAGTGAGACTCTGAGGCTTTGAAAAAGTTCTCAGAGAGTGTTTTCAGAAATTGCTGGACTGTGGAGAGCTCTAAATCTCGATGGAGGTCGGCGTTACGGACGTATCAGGATGCGTTCGTAGCCCGACGACTGAAAAGGTTTTGAACTATTTGGAGATCGTTAATGATTTTGGGGTCAGCGTGAGCAAATATAGGGCCCGCGTAAGTCATGACTGGTCGTATACAGACCTTGTTCGTTCGGTTCGCTTGTTTCGGAGGGACATTTTACTGTGTTGGCCCAGCATACTGTTGAGCCTACCCAGATAAAATCGTGCGTTGCGGGTTACTCTTTTCATATTTGGCGGACGTATGCCAGAGGACATTCAACGGGATGGGAATATCGTTGGTGAACAGGATATACAGGAGAGGAGCAAGTTCTGAGCCCTGAGGGACACCAGCTTTGATGGGGCGCTGAGAGAAGAACGTGCCTTCGTGTCTAAAACGAAAGGTACGATCCTTCAGGTAAGAGGCCACGAGACGTACAAGACGATCAGGGAGACCTATTTTATATAGTTTGTAGATAAAGCATTCGTGCCAACCGCGTTCGATTCTCTCTCCACCCTTATAAAATCCTCCCTTAAGAAGAATGAAAGGGTCGTCCCGGTTGCTAATAATGATGGTCTTCCCCTACATATTAGCAACCTAATAAAAGCCAAGAGAGCTGCTTTCCGGAAAGCAGCAATCTATCCCACCCTCGAATATAGGCGTACGGCCAATCGTCTTCAACGAGAAGTCCGTTTCCGCCTCTCCGAACTTCGAGACCTCGAAAAGAGTAAGCTCATGGAGAATATCTCTCCCTCTCATACAGTACTATCAGATGGCAAGAGCAGCATAGACGCTATCACCCACACTCCCCCTCTCTCCCGTCCCGATGGTACGGTTGCCTTCGAGGACGAGGAAAAAGCTGAATGCTTTGCAGACAGCATTGCCGCACAATGCTCTCCTAGCTCTCAACCCACCGACACCTCCCACATCCAGACAGTGGAGGATGAGGTCCGCCGCCAGAACTCACCCCCCACAGCCTCTGACCCTATCACTGTGTCCAATGATGAGTTCCACAGAAAACACTTGGTCTCAGAAATTCACGCCAATGACAGAAGAAGGGCAAAAGCGGTTTTACAGATGTAAGAAAGTTCGAAAGAAGAAACCACAGTGCGCGGCAGAACTTTACCTGTTGTTTGAGTGTGGAACCGACAGTGTTTTTGTTTATCATACGGACGCTGATCATAATCATAATGATATTGGGGCTCGAGACGATTACAGTATTAATGTTATATCTAGAATAGAAATTAACAAACTCTTTGACCTGCATTTAAAGCCAAAAGCTACTTATATTAGCTGCTCTTCAAAAGATCGATGGAATTATGTTGCCTACAAAAATACAACTAAATAATTATTTAAGTGACAGACGGCGTATTAAATTTGGGCAACATACCATTCACTTAAGCGAATTAAAAAAGTGGATACTTGACTACGAAAGCATTCCTGACGACGAAGATGAACCATTTGTTATGAAGTATACTGGATATTGGAGAGTGACCAACCGACCTTCATATTTGTTTTGACAACAAAAAAGTTATTGAAATTTGCGTGTTCTATCGACGTTTTACACATACGTCGTGCCCGTAGCCTTAGCTTTTTCATTAGGTGCTAAATATACATTTCTAATTCTAATATAATTATTGCTAAAATATTTACATCTTCTAAATCGCACAATGGAGATCCACCACTGTGCGATTTAGATGTTTTCTTCCTCGCACGACTTCCTTGTGGAATCGATTACCATCAGCGATTTTTCCGGACCGATACGACTTAGGGACTTTCAAGAAAAGAGCGTACTCCTTTTTAAAAGGCCGGCAACGCATCTGCGATTCCCTCCCTGGTGTTGCAGCTGTACATGGGTGGCGGTAGTCACTTACCATCAGGTGAGCCGCATGCTCGTTTGCCCCCTCTCCTATAAAAAAAAATTAATCGCTGCCAATTAATTTTTTTAGTAACAAAATAGTCGCCCTTAAGTTTCTAATCGCCTCGAAAATAATTAGCCTAAAAAAAATTACCACTAGGTTTAATTAAAACATATATTCAAGTCCTAATATTTTATTTTCAGACAGGATGTAAAGAATCTTAACATGATATTATTAAGTGGAATATTATAATATATTCATCGGTTGCCCCTTTTGCTCATTCTTAAATCTCGTTCAATTTCATACTGACGGACATCTGCGCGTGCTAGGAAATCTTGACGTTCCAGATATCTGCAATAAGAATAATGACAAAAACATCATAGATAAAATGATTTATAATTATTTGGTCAAAATTTGTGTGGTGGCGGCATAGTAAGGGAATGTCGCAAGAATAGACTTGAAAGTATCTGAAGATGCCGCAGTCCATCAACATGCATCCGTAGTGCACTAGCCAAGTTGGACTCGCACACTTTTTTACTGTGAATGAGACTATGGATGCTTCATAAAAGCATTTGCCTCTATCATCTATATCATCCAGATCAAGACAAATTATTCATTGTTAATGCTTCTTTTTCATTTTACCAAGGGAAAGCATAAATAAGTGATCACAGAACCTGGTCACAGAGTTGTGTATTACACAAAACACTCATTGCTGAGGGTGTAATGGGAATATGCTAACTTTTTCTCCAAAGTAGCTGTGGCTTGGTCACCCGCGGTGAACTAACCTACATGGCTGGCCTTTGGACCCTACGCCTAGGGCCGGCCCGAGGTAGTCACTCCGGTTGGGCTTGGCGAGCCCACTTCGAATGTGTTGGTGGACTGCGGCGAGAGGGGTACCCTCTCCCCCTACTGAAAAGGAAGTGGAAAAGGAGTGTTGTCCGTTCCGAAATCCGCCGCTAGAGTCAGGAAGGCTAGTATCCTCCGCGACTCTGACGGGGCCGTACCGTCGATGCGGTGGTGGTGGGGCTGCGGGGGAAGAAGTGTTGGTATTGCGAGGTGTCGCTCTCCTTACCCTCCGCAGCTTAACTTGGTTGGCGGCGGAGCCATAGACCAGATCTGACGCTGGGGTCAGGAATGCTAGTGTTTCTGAGTGCTTGTTTTTCCTAACCCCATGTCTTCGCGCATCGGACTTGCGCAGGTGAAGTTGGACGCCGCGGAGGAAGGCGTACATGTGTTCCGGAGCGTCTTACCTGTGAAGGAGATGGGGCCGAAGTAGTCATCTCCCTGGGAGGGGCCGCCGTGGGGCGGCCAGTGGCGGAGGGGCCGCGGATGTGTAAGAAAGCGTTCCCGTGGCTCTGCCAATATGCGACGAAGATGGAACACCATGGGGTTTTAGTCGGTGCGAGACCGACATAACCTGTCCTTGCCCCCGCGAGGCGGGTTTGCGTGGGTATTTCCCCATGTCAAACAATAAAAAGGCAGTATGGCGTTAGAAGAGGCAGTGTCGCGTTAGAAGAGGCAGTGTCGCATTGGAAGAGGCAGAGCTGGACTAAGCCCTTAGCCGCTTAAAAGCCCGGAACACAGCATCGGGGCCCGATGCAATACCGGGCCGGGCCCTAGTGCTGAGTCTGGCTGCCCTGGGGGATAGGCACAAGCAGCTGTTTACCAGTTGTCTGCGGTCCCCACAGCCTGGAAAGAGGCAAGGCTGGTCCTCTTAAAGAAGGAGGGCAGGGCCCGCTGATTTTCCCTCCACATACCGACCCATATGCCTGTTGAACGAGATTGGCAAATTATTCGAGAGGATAATTGCAACTCAGCTCAATAGGCAACTGTCCCGTGTTGGTCGCGATCTGGCCGATAGCCAGTTTGGGTTCCGACAGAAGCATTTCACTTTAGATGCGATTATGCGCGTCCGCTCCCTGTCGGAACAAGCAGTATGCCAGGGTGGCGTGGCGTTGGCGATAACTCTTGATATTGTTAACGCCTTTAATTCCCTACTCTGGGCTGCAATCAGGAGGGCACTGGTACATCATCAGGGCACTGTCACATCATCAGGGCACTGGCACATCATCAGGACCCCCCTTACCTGCAAGGTATTATCGGGGACTACTTGTCTGACAGGTACATTCTGTACATGGGGCAAGATGGCAGTAAGAACAGGAGGGAGATCAAACGTGGGGTTTGGCGGGACTCGGTGCTGAGGCCGCTACTGTGGAACCTCGCCTATGATGCGGTTCTGCGAATCGATCTTCCCGCTAGCGTAGCAGACGATGCTATGCCGACGACAGATAGGTTCATCGCCAGCAGGATCACTTTCGAGAGGGCTAAGGAGCTTGCCGAACTCGGGACGGAAGTCGTCATCACCAAAATCCACGAGTTGGGATTAGAAATGGGGCCTCACAAGACCGATGCCCTATGGTTCCATAAATTACCACGGGGCAGGCAACCACCCGAAACGTGTGTCCGCGTGGGTGGGTTTGAAGTCAGCGTGGGTGGGTTTGAAGTCAGAGTGGGGAGGTCCATGAAGTACCTAGCTAGGCCTACACCTGGACAGACGCTGGAGCTTCGAAGAACATTTCAAGCGCCTAGTTCCTCGGATCGCAAGGGTAGCGGGAGCTATGCATAGACTCCTGCCCAATTTAGGGAGACCGACGGAGGAAGTACGTCGCCTCTATGCGGAAGTTATACGATCCGTAGCTCTGTATGGAGCGCCAGTATGGGGAAAAAGACTGGCCATCCGACATTGTAAAACTAAAATCTACAGTGTTCAGCGGAGGATGGCCATACGGATCAAGGGTACCGTATTATATCTTTTGAGGCGGCGGCAATCCTGGCTCGCTTTCCCCCTCTAGACATACTGGCGGCGGACATTCACGAGAGGGTATGCGATCGGATCCGTGACCTCCACCAGAGCGATGGTAATGAGCCAGAAGAGGCACTCGAATCAATTAAACAGCAGGAACGGCAAATGGCTTTGGCGACATGACGCACTCGACTTGAGGAAAACTATGAACGCAAACGTATCATTGATGCAATCTTGCCGGTCTTCGAAGCCTGGATGCAGCGACGAGAAGGTAGACTCACCTATAGACTTACGCAGATAATTACCGGGCACGGGTGCTTCGGTGATTATCTGTGTAAGATTGAACGCGAGGCGACAGCAAACTGCTTCCACTGCGGTGATCAAGATCAGGACTCCGCGTCCTGGCGGTATGTCCAGCGTGGGAACGGGAGTGGCTATTATCCTGGTGAGCCATATCGGACGGAACCTCTCCCTGCCAGTAGTCGTGTCGGCGATCCTGAGCGGGAATTCGGCGTGGAGAGCCGTAGCCACCTTCTGTGAATCTGTTATGATTCAGAAAGAGACTGCTGAGCGGGATCGGGAGAGGGCGGATCCCGCTCGGAGACGACGTCGCCAAGGCGTTCGTCACGGCCCTTTCAAGAGAATACGGTGTCCCGGGACCCCTCATATACTGATGGACCACCGTGGGGTAAGAGTCCGGCATAACCTTTTCGTTGCCCCCCGCAACGAAAGGTATCCATGAGGATTTCCTCACGGAAAAAAAGGTAGTGTCGCGTTTAAAGAGGCAGTGTCGAGTTAGAAAAGACAGTGTCGCCTTAGAGGAGCCAGTGTCGCGTTGGAAAAGGCAGTGTGATTCCATTACAGTGTTATAATAGCAAAAACCAATGAATGGAACATATAACCAGTACAGTGTTTATGATCACAAACTGCAGACTTCCTTGTCTGCAGTCTGTGCAGTTTCTTGTTACTTGTGATCATATCCTAGACGGCCCCCGCCATTACATTAGATTTGATAAACCACAAGTTCTCGCGAAAGAACATCGATTCCTGCCGAGGATGATACGTGAGGCTATTGAAATTAAAAAACATCCTAATTTCAATAGAGAGGGAGGCTGGGTACTACCACCTGCTTGGGATCCTGTAATTCATAAAATTAAAACTAAACCCAAGCATACCACTGCAAGACTTCAAGACACAGTTAGTTCATTCTGCGTAGATCGGACCAAAATTAATAATTAAAAAGCTGAAGGTACTCCAGGTTAACTTTGACATCAGGACGTCAATCACCTCAGTCCCCCGTGACCACGGTTGCTGGAAAGCAACCGAAACATCGGGAATATAAAATAAGTTAATTAAACGCGATAAAAGCAATCAGTTGTTGCGCTGGGAGCCGCGGGTTCGAATCCCGCACGGAACAAGTATTTGTATGGCCTAAAAATAATTGTTCCGGGTCTAGATGTTTGTCCTTGTGCAATTTATGTTTGTAAACTGCCTCCACGACACAGGAGAAAATCCTAGTGTGGTGGTAATGTTTTTTTTTTTTAAAAAATATCTAATGTAATTCTTAATTTAGTAATGGAATTGAATTATATGTATTGGATGATTCTACCTGTGTTTAGTTGCAAATCATCAGCATAGGGATGATAAGACTTGAGATTTACTGTAATGAGATTGATAAAAATAGAAAACAGAAGAGGAGAGAGTACCACCTTAAAACAGCAGTTACTACATCACTCCAATTGGATAAATTATGAGACTAATGATTAAGAAGCAGTCACGGTTACGACTACTAGAACAACGAGGCAGTAAATCAGTTAAAAAATATATACTACTTAATCATATTAGGCCTTTAGTCTAAACAACATTTGGCAAAGATTTGGTTTGACTGTTAACTGCCAAGCGATAGAAAAGTGCAGTGCAAGTGCAGTATATAAATGTCACAGCACTATGAGTATAAACATATTTGTTTAATCAATTATAGCCATATTTAATTTAAACAATTTTCATTACGGCCTATAAAAGTCTACAGCTAAACATAAGTCTCTCCCAAGATTGCCTCATAGGGGAGATTTTGCCATAGTTGCCACGTTTGGCAGGCGGATTGGCAACCGCAATTTTATATTATTTTGATTTGTTTTCAGGAAGATTCTGCTGCCCATTTCTTGTTTCAGTTTCCACCTGTCACCACTTACAACACTCATGGGATGATATGGGATAATAGATGTGGATATTCTTATACTGCCACCACACAGTTGGTGCTTTGGTTAACAGCTAAATAATACAAACAACAATCATCATAATATGATGTCTTTTGACACATGTTTCATAATAAATGAGACAACACAACTACATAATACTTTTTTATACGTGGTAGAGTCAACCTGCAGCTATATTAGTAGTATAGATGTACGAATAGGTCGGCTCGACTGGGGGAGGACCACACTCTCACAGTATACCAGCATAAAATAGCAGCTTAACACTGCTGTTTCGTATGGTGAGTAGACAACCAGAGACCCTTTTTACTGGAATAGAGGCATTCCATCTTAGTGCTCATTGGTGACAATGCATCTGCATTTTGATTCTTTATTGAGGATAGATGTAGATGTCTATGGGCCATAGCAACCACTTACCATCAGGCGGACTGTGTGCTCGCTTGTCACCCTTATCCTATTAAAAAAAATCCTCCCCAGCCCTCTGTCGTCTGTGTATATATCCATATATATCCATCTCGTTTGTTCATTATTTTTTGTCTAAATATTCTTAAAATACGATTTTTTACCATTAAACATTCAAAATAAATTCATACCCTTGCTTTCCTTTATTGTGACTTTGAATTTCATCTTCAATATCTTCCACTTTTTTATATGTATTCCAATCAAGCTTCGATTTTTCAAGGGTTGAGAGCTTGTTCTTTTTATTCAACTGACCCAAAACATTTGATAAGCCACCAGATCCGCGACTTCGTGAAAGAATATCTTTACTCACTGTTGTTATAAAAAAAAGTAGTTTTTATTCATACATTCATTATAATAAGTACTCTGTTTAAGTCGGGTTTGCAACCAACTTTTTTTAATATTATTAAGTTTCTGACAGTTCTGAAGAACTGACATAAAGTATGCTACAAAACTACAAAACCATAATTTATGCTACAAACATAAACTTTTTTCTTAAGCCCATATAAGTTCACTTCTGAAAGTGGGCCTCTCCTGCGGTAGGGATTTGCCTTAATAATGACACTTGGCAGGTAGATAGATTATTGCAGTACCAGATGTTTCGCACCTTCGACAGTGCTGCCTCTCATATCTGGTAAAATCAAGATAAACCACCATTTATCGGAAGTCATAAGATTTCAATAACATTTCCCATCGTCACTTTTTATGACACCCACGAGACAAAATGGGGTAATAGATTCTCTTACAACCCTACTAGCCCACCACACAGTAAACCTTTTTATGAAGAGTGAAATAAGAAGAGAATATTAGTCTGTAACTAGCTATTCCCCGCGACTTCGCCTGCATGTAATTTCGGGTTTTAATTATGTTGTTCGGAACCCTAATTCTTTTTCTAAAATATAAGTAGCCGAAGTTACTCCGTATAACATCAGCTATCTACATGTAAAAAAGACCTGTCAAAATCTGTCCAGCCGTTTTAGAGATTAGTCGGACAGACTAAAATTTCAAAAATTGTGTTTTTATTATAAGTACCGTATTTACTTTCATATACATTTAGTAAAGCTGTTATTTTAACATTACAAACAGACACTTCAATTATTTATTTGTATAGACAAAATACTGCTTGAAATGTCTTTAGTAGTTAGCTCTATATATAAAAATCAAGGTCAGAAGCGAGGCTTAATTTTTTTTTACATGTGGTAAAGCTGCACTGCAGCAATATATGATTGTAGCATGAGTTGGCTCAACTGTGGAAGACTCCACTCTCATAGAACAACAGTGTTAAATAGCAGCTTTATGTTGCCGTGTCTCAATTTTGAGTGTAGAGAACCTGAGACCCTTTTAATCCATCTTAATCCTCAGGGGTGGCAACACATCTGCATTTTAATTCTTAATCACAGATAGATGCAGATGTCTATGGGCAGCATCCACTAATAATCAGGTGGACTAAATATTTGTTCGTTACCCTTATTCCATATTTATATCTTATCTAATGTTTCAATATGTAAACCGCTTAATACAATACAGGTTTATTATATTACCTGAAGGTGAACTCTCATTAGGTTTAATTTTTTCTTTTATAACATTGTTTTCCACAATAATAGTTTCACCTGCAAATTCAAAAATTCTCCTTTCTCTTTCCTTATCACTTTCAATATCCAGCTTAGAATTTTTTGATAATGACATTCCTTTATCACATTCTGCACTAGAATGGGTAGGTTTAGTTTCACTATGTGAATCTTTTATACTAGATTTTGGTTTTGTGTCAGTTCCCTCTAAAAACTTAGCCCAAAGATCTTCCTCTCGTTTCTTTTCTTCTTCAGGGTCTTTTGTTTCATCAGGCATTTCAACTTTTTCATTGTCTTCACTCTCCTTAAGACCATTCGTAGCCCTCTTTTTCGTTTTACACTTCTTTGGAACAGCTTTACGTTTTTTACTCTTTTGCTCTATTTCATTTTCATATTGTACTTCGGTTTCCTCATCTGCTGAGTCTTCTTCAGACAGTTTCTCAGGTTCTTTTGGTACATAGTCTTCATCGCTGTCACTGCCTGATGACATCTGAAAGGATGATAATATATTTATGATTATCAATGTAACCAATAAACATATGATATTAAAAAATATATTACCAGCTTTGCATGAAGCATGTCTATATTTTAATATTGTTGTGTTATAAATTGTAGTTATTAAAAAACAAAAAAATTAAAACAAGTTTTTTAATAAATTTAATTACTTTATCAAGATTACACCCATTATTACAAAATTTGTAAGAGCTTAAACAAACTTCTTTTTATTTCTATTTCTATTTTTAACATTGGATACTTCATAGAAGTTGCTTCCTGTTTTAGTTCGACGTTGAGACCTTTCCAAAGCTCTCCTTTGTTTTGCTGTCATTTTATTTATGGTGTTTATGTTTGCACTAGCTTTACGTTTCAAGCACTTTTGTGATAATTCCTCTACAGTAAAAGTACCACTAGCCACTTCTAATTTCTTTTTTTTCATTTCTTTCACTGTTTCTGGATCATTAGTCAAATAATCTTCTACATCACTGCATTCCTTATCATCATCACTATAAAAGTTACTAATATCTGATTCAGTGTCACTTTCATTTTTCTTCTCCTCTTCTTTCTCCTCTTCCTTTTCATCATCTTGATTTTCTTCATCGTCTATATCCTTCAGTTCATCTGGAATATTTATTTTTTGAAGTGGTTTGACATCCTCTTCATTATCAAATGGTAGGCCTACTCTTATTTTAGCAAAGTCCTGTGCTATAACCAATTTATTAATAATTAAGTTTGGTTTTTCTAAAGTATTTACATTTTCTTTTGGATCTGCATTTTCTTTAACTGCTTCTTCATTTTCTTGAACAGTGTTCTGTTCTTTGATATCATCATTATTAGGTGCTGTTTGCTTTGTAATTTCCTTAGACAATGGTACTTCAAATCCCTCTGGTGCTACATAAAAAGGTAACTTACCTCTTTGCCAGTCATTAAGAACCATCTTTGCCACTTGAGCTATGTCAGGTTCACCTTTTTTCAAAAGTTTACCAGTTCTTGCGGCAAGTTTTTCTAAAAATTCTGTTGAAGTTTCCCACCCATCAACCTTATATGTTTTTATTAGATAATCTTTACGCACTCTTTTTATAACTTCTTCAATATAGTCCTCTGGATTTTGTACTAATTCTACTCTAACAACACCTTTAAGAACTTTCTCAGTATCTGTTTCAGCAGAAGGATAAACAACACCAGGGCAATCAATTAAGAATATTCTTCGCATTAATGTTATATATTGCCAAACTTTAGTTTCTCCTGCAATTGGTGCTACTTTGCAGACTTTCTTAGCTCTTAAAGTATTAATAACAGATGATTTCCCAACATTAGGATATCCAATTAAACCAACACTTATTTGTTTTTTATCAATATGTAACTTTGCAAATTGACGTAATAAATTGATAAGTGAACCTTTACCAAATGGATGAGTCATTGAAGCATGAAATGCAATGGTTGGGTACTCTGAGCTTAAAATTGCAACCCATCTCTGTGTTACCCAATTGGGAACCAAATCAACTTTATTTAAAATGAAGATTAGGTGTTTATGTGGCTTTTCCTCTTTTAAAAACTTCTCAACATAGGGGCTTCTTGTTCCCATTGGATCCCGAGCATCAAGAACTTGCAAAAGAACATCAGATGAATCAACTACTTTGTACAATTCATTCCAAATTCTCTTACTCATACCAGCACCAAACACCCAATCTCTTTGTCCCTCTTTTACGCCAGTGTCTTCACGAACTCTATCAACATCTTTAGTTTCATCATATTTTTCAGTACTCTCTTCAACAGCTTTAGAAAAATTTTCAATATCATTAAATTTTAAATTTACTCGCTTTCTTTGCTTTTTAGGGCCAAATGTTTTGTCAAAACTTTCAGTATCTAGAAGATGAACTCTAGCGTGCTTAGCTTTTTCATTGAGCAAGGTAATTGGCAAATTTGTGGGCTTCATAATAACCTTATATGGGTTCTTAACAGCAGCTCCAAATTCTTCTTGGAATTTTTGTAGTGCACTCTGTGAAATTACTCTCGAATTTCCAAACCACTTTTGATTTGGCTCAACTCTCGCTTGAGTACCAGATGGTAACCAGCCTTGAAATGGTGCGGGCGTTAGAATTTTTCCAGTTTTGTCTCTTTTCGCCTTAAAATTACGATACATCTGTAATCTTTTGATTGTCCCTTTTGTCCTGGGTTTACCTACTCCTTTTAGACCTTCAGTAGGGCGATCTGGATTCATCGAATGTCCAGATTTATTAAAGCCCTGTTTACGGGGCGCACCTGGAGCTGATCGAACTTTACCCATTTTAAATAAAAATATATTCAATAACGGATAATAAATAACAATAAACACGCGGTTAATGATTGATACTAAAGTGAGGTTACAGTTCTTTAACAGTTGAACATGACCAAAACTGCTGTCTGACAATAAAAGTGACAGATCGATCGTGGTACACAAAACATAGCGCACTAACTTCACACCTATGAAAATGAAGGTTAATCTAATGAATAAAAGAATACTAATTACCTTGAACTTTACAAGAAGTTTAATGAAATTATTTAAAAATATTGCACACTAAATACATCAATACACCCGTTAAAGTGTTAAAAGACACTACACTAGACTTTATATATGAACAGTACTTATTGTAAAAGTAAACCGATTAACCGACAAATAAAGATTGTAGTTCGTAATCATAGAGTAGAATACCATAGATAAATAAATATGCAGTATAATATGCAGTATAAAAATAATAAGCTCTGTCGTATACAACGAGGAAGCTCATAGGAAGCTACAATTTTTTTATTAATTTTTTTTTTATTTGGATGCTTCTTCTTCAAGCCGTTAGAATAAAATACGAGTTTTGCTTAGACCATTTAACTCTTAACCTAATGGACTCCCCTCGTATGATTATTCCCACAGACTAATATGATGCTTACGGTTATTCTCCTCTGCCAAGGTATTGGATTTAAACATCTTGTAAAAACTGTTTACGGAATCGATTTTATCATTACAAGAATCGTTTTTGCCGATGTATAGGTGTTCTTGGAAAAATGCTGATCTGTGCGGTTAACGTGTACAGTCAAATACTTAAAATTTAAAATAAGATGGTGTTACATTCCATATGTAAGTATTTTTATTGTGATACATGCTTTTTTAAGGTTCCGTATCCTAAGGGTAACTAACAGGACCCTATTACTAAACCTCCGCTGTCAGTCTGTCTGCATATCAGCAGATGTATACTTAAGTTAGAAGCTGTCCAGGCGTGAAGTATCGCTTCACCTTATTTAAAAACTTTCGATAAAATTTAAATGGGACCACCTGATAAGTATACCCTTTGAAACAAAAAAGAATTTTCCAAATCGATTCAGGCATCTTTGAGTAATCGGTAACATAAACATACATAAACATACGTAAACATACATAAACATACATAAAAAAAGATTCTGACGAATTGAGAACCTCCTCCTTTTTTGAAGTCGTTTGAAAATACCCAGTTTTTTGGCGACAGTTTGGGCTTTCGACCCAATGTTGGCGCCAAACTTGAGGTTAGCAGTCAAATGTATGCCGAGAAACTTGAGATGATCAGTAACCTCTACAGGTATACCTCGTCAAGTAGGAGTCAGATTAAACGGACTGTGTTTTACGGAGAACAGACAGGCCTGCGTTTTGGTAGCGTTGAAAGTGACCAGATTGTCATCACCCTTTGGTGAATTATGACTGGTCAACTTCGGGGGGCAACGACTTCCGGACATATCAGCAATAGGTAGGCCGCCGTTTCTTCCTCCCCCATACATGCCCTGCACAGGGGCCTATCTGTAACACCTATGGTAAATAAATGTTTGTTAAAGATGCCATATCCTGTGATATCACTATCCTGATCTGCAGCTTGTTCAGTCTCATCAGAACCTTGGTTAAAAGATTGTTTATTTCAGGCACGGCCTCCCTAGCTTGTTTACAGTCTACTAGATTTTTCCAAAGCTGAGCGAGTTGAATAGTGAAGTGTCTACGTACCAGTGAACGAACGTTACCATAGGGGATTAGTATGATTGGTTCCGGCCCTATAGTGGCCAGAGCCGATCCTCTTCTGAGCAGTTCGTTTGCTGCATCGTTGTCTCTGGATCCACTGTGTCCGTTTATCCATTGCAGAGTCACATTGTTGTGTTTACATACCTCATTTAATAGTTGATGGCATTCATATATTTGTACCGAGTTCACCACATTGCAACTCATTGCTTGTACTGTCGGTCAGTATTCTGATGGAGAAGTTTTTAACCTTCCTAGCATATATTGCTATGGCCGCTTGAAAGATACCCATGCATTCCGCCTGAAAGATTGCGTAGTAGGTACTCAGCGATGTGCATATGTGGATATTGAGGTCTTCAGAGAAAGTTCAAGATCCTACAACTTCATTTTAAGGCTTTAACTAGCCTGAATGACCTTGACGAAACGGCGATCGCAGAGATTTTAGCCGATGTCAACACCGTCTAGCAACTACGTTCTGTATTACTTATAAAAGTGCAAAGATTAATAGACTGCAGAGATGACAATTATATAAGTGACATACTGCCTGTTATGCTTGCGCATCACTGAGAATTATGTCGCGGTTACGCATCTTCAATTACATTGCACGGTGTGGTGCTGTAGCTTTGTCCGGTAGGCATCACGAGCTATCAAGTGTTTAAGTTTCAAGTACGTAAGAATTTTTATTATATATGTTAAATCGTATTTATTTGTGTCGTATTAAATATATGTCGTCAAAGCGTTCGCTGTAAATTTTCCCGGGTTTGATCCCCGACAGCACGAATGAAATTTGTAATTGCAATTTTCGTCAACACGCATTGGGGAAGCACGGCGGGCATTTCCTTGCCCTAAAACCCTCTCAGAAATAAAAAAAGAGTCCTGTGCCCAGTAGAGGGACTTGTATAGCCTATAACTTTACTTTGTAGCAATATTTATATTCGTTTCAGATATAGAAGGGTACCTTATGCTGACAAAAATATCATGTGGAGGCGACGAAAACGTAAAACATCTTTATACCTAGATAAAACGTTCGAAAGATTGTCAGTCATGTCATACGCCACATTTTCTATAGAGCGTAGAACATTGCAGATATGGCAAAATAAAAAATAATCCATTATATTATGGGAACTATTTATTAATAATATATACGTTTATAGGTATTTATAATAAAAATAATGAACAAGCTGCAAGGTTCAACTAATAATTTTTTTTGTAAACACAATCGTAAAATTCCTGTTTTAATTTTTACCAATGGTTAATTGATGAAACGTAGTCAAGATCACTTCATATAAAATATATTTAATTAAAATTGACACGTGACCTATTTGGCCGTGAAGATTTTGTCTTTTCACACAAGTATTGTTTACAACTGGCGTGGTTTCGAAAAGCGTGATTAAGTGTCAGCGGTATATAATCAATTAAATACTGAACTTTATTGAAATTTATTTTTTTATTTATTTTTGTTATATCTTCTTAAAAACTGACGCCATCTCACTATTTCATTATTTGTTTTTTTTTTTGTACGCATAAGGATAAATTAGACTAAGTTAGATTAACTTGGATAAGTTTATATTTTTTTAATTTTATCACAAAATTTCCGCAATAAATTATTACCTTTTCTACAGTGATTCTCTCCTCTTAGTTTCGGCGTGACTGTAGGATGTTATAGTGAGTCACCGTCAGTTACTAAGCGGCCATAAATCATTATATGTATGTATAGACATACATATATACATTTTTTGATTTTAATATTTGTTTTTTGAATTTTGATTGATATTTTGAAACCTGGTAAAATTATTTTTTTCCATACCAATTGATGGGCCTGAGTATAATGCCAGTTATGCTCTTTGGCTGAAGTTATTTTTTATTTTATGCTCAATTGCAGACAAAACAATATTGATTGCGCATTTCTAAAACAAAATTTTACCTCTTCTCTTTCTAATAATAGCTCCTGCACCTAACACGGAGGAATAGTTATTATTATCTATAAGACCATTTGGGAAAACAGTTTTTGTTAACAGTTATGAGTGTAACATTTTATCAGCTGCTTTGTTTATGGTGCCTTGAGCAACACTTTGCCGGTTTCTGTACAGAAAATGATGCTGGCTTTGCAAATACGGATGGCCGCTATCATTAAATATAATTCCCGCTATGTTACACTTATTTACATAGAAACTTTAATTATCATTTGCATAAAATTCTAAATAGCACTTTTTACACAAGAAAGTAAACTTTTAGATCAGTCCATTTTGTTTTTCACTAATTAAGTAAAAAGTAAAACAAACCAATAGGGCCGGGAATTAAAATTTCTTGCAACTTTTTATAGAAAAGCATGACCTTATCATAATATAAAACTCAATCATTTAGCCATGTCATAAAACTTTTAAGTGTGCCAGTCAAACATTAATGATGATATTCGGGTCATTATACCGGAAATAGTCTTTTAAATATTTTGTAGTACAATTGATAATCTTCAGTATGATTGACCGTGTATATGACTTTTATAAGTATGTTATTTTTGATGAAAATTATTATTGCAGATAAAAGCCCTTTCACATTTATTTTAGTCTGGAATTAAATTAATCAAAATGAAAATAATAACATTGGCTCTTTATAACTGATCTTTAAATGTAAAACACTGACTTGAAATTATATAATTATTGGCATTTTTTTTAATTCATTGAACATTTTTAAGATTTTGTTGAAACTCTACTAGCAAAAAAAAAACAAATATATATATATATATATATATATATATAATATATAATATATATATATATATATATATATATATATATATATATATATATATATATATATATATATTATAGTTCTTGATGAAAATAATGTATGCGCGTTACATCGCATCCCATCAAGAATTTCTAATGTAATTCTTGGTGTAAAGCTAAGACGTGATAATAACTGTAAACAATAGAATAACAAAATAATGAAAACATTTACATTTACATACAAAACATTTACAAAAATACTTTGCTTTATAACCTACACTGCTTTATAACCTTATAAATATTATTTGACCGTAATAAAATAAAACAAGGTAGTCTTGGGCATGAAAGTAAAAATAAATATTTTCGATTATTTTTGCAATATCTAACAGCTGGATCAGCGGGCGATTCTGATCCATCTAAAGATGCTAAATTTCAGCAAGCACTGTCAAATTCAATAGGAGTGACAGAAAACCGGTTCTTGATATAGAAAGGTAAATAAATTATTTAACCTATAAAGTAAAATCACTTTATTACAAATCCATATCCAATAGC